GAGCGTGTTCTTCCTTTTTGGTTTTCAGACTCCAGGTCTTTGCACATTTCATTATAGTAATTGGCTTTGTCTACTCGAGCTGCTCTTTGAAATCTTCTATTCAGCTCTTTTACCTTTTCATTTTTGTTTATTGACCAAAAAACTTCAGTACTTTGTTTCTGCAAAGCTTATTTTTGTCCTTAAAAAGCAAACAACTATATTTCTCTTTTTAAAAGTAGAGGAGCTGTCTGATTACTCTTTCTCTTTGTTGTGTTATACCTTTTCCATCAGCTAGTACAAGTGAATGGTAACTGGTTGACTTCTCATTTCCAATTTTGAGTATGGTCACCAGACCCTATCCTTTGACAGTTGTCATATGGAATTGGATTAATATATTCTTTTCACTATAAATCACTGTGATGCTCTGAATAGTAGTAGTATAATATATAATATAAATACTTTATAGGTCTTTTTCTCTTATAAAACATAACATTTCCTATTTAAAGTGTAGGTCAGAGGATCTATACGCACACCAGAATGACTATTTAAAAAAAAAAAAACTCAGATAACAAGTGTTAGTGAGGGTTAGAAGAGATTGGAACCCTCACGCATTGCTAGTAGGAATGTAAAATAGTGCACCCACTTTAGAAGACAGTACCATATGATCCACCAATTCTACTCCTAAGTGTCTACCCAAGGGAAATGAAAACTTACATGTCCACACAAAAACCTATATGTAAATGTTCTTGAAAGCATTATTTTTCATAGCCAAAAAGAAACAATGCAAATGTCCAACAACTGATGAATCCGTAATGATGTAAGTGAATGAAATACTGATAAATGTACAATATGGATAAACCTCAGAAACATTATGCTAAGTGAAAGAAACCAGTCACAAAAGACCACATATTACATGGTTACATTTATATAGGTTGGGTAGAATAGGCAAATCAGTTGAAAAAGAAAGTAGTAGGTTAGGGATTGCAGAGAGGCAAAGGCCCGGAATGAGGAATGATCGCTAATGAGTACAGGGTTATTTTTGGGGGGTGACAAAATATTCTGAGATTGCATTATTGTAGTCATCGTACAGCTCTGCTGTTGTTGGGTGCCTTAAGTCAATTCTAACTTATACGGACCCATGTGACAGAGTAGAACTGCCCCAAAGGGTTTTCTTGGCTGTAATCTTTATGGGAGCAGATTGTCTAGTCTTCTTCCCACAGAGTCCAGTGGGTGGGTTCAAACTACCAACCTTTTGGTTAGCAGCCAAGCATTTAACCATTCTGCCACCGAGACTTTTTATACACTATAAATATATTAAAAACCATTGATGTGTACTCTTTAAATGAGTGAACTTTTTGTGGTATGTAAATTACATATCAATAAAACCTTCCTCTCCAACCCCCCCCCAAGATCTATTTCAACATGAGAAATTAAAGGTATGAAAAGTTTGAGACTTGTTGAAGATTATACTGCTAAATAGTACCAGTATTATGATTAGAACCAATATCTTTTGATATGTAAACCAATGTTTTCTTCCTGTTTATATCTAAGAGTTGGGTAGTTGATAGAGTTAGTATAGTGGAGTTTTTGTGACTGAAATGTGAATGGAATGGCACATTACAATAATGTTCAGTAGCATGTCATTTAACTTTAGTATTAATAATAATACTCAGACATTTGCAAAGTCTTTAAATGTGAGAAATATTTACAGAACTTGGCCATTTTGCCTTATATTTTTATTGCACTTTTACAACTCAGGAGATTTACTGAAGAATGCACTGTTGAAATGCTATTTTCTTAAAATTCTGAAAGACAATTTTGTAGTTTACTGCTCTGGAAATAATAACATTATTAATAAATTATTTACTTTAAGATATTGAAACCATCTGAAAAGAAAGCCAAGTACCAGTATGGTGGACTGAATTCTGGACGTCCCGTCACTCCACCTCGAACAGCTAATCCACCGAAGAAAAGGTGAAGAAAGGGACTCTCTGAAGAAACCATCAGATTTGTTAAGGACATACTTCATAATATATAAGTGTGCACTGTAAACCATCCAGCCATTTGACACCCTTTATGATGTCACACCTTTAACTTAAGGAGACGGGTAAAGGATCTTAAATTTTTTCTAATAGAAAGATGTGCTACACTGTATTGTAATAGGTATACTCTGTTATAATATCCAACAAAGTTAAATCCAAATTCAAAATTATCCATTAAAATTACATCTTCATGTATCACAGTTTTTAAAATTGAAAAGCATCCCAGTTAAACTAGATGTGCTAATTAAACCAGATGAAAGCATGATGATCCATCTGTGTAATGTGGTTTTAGTGTTGCTTGGTTGTTTAATTATTTTGGGCTTGTTTTGTTTTGTTTGTTTTGCTAGAATAATGGCAATTATTTTTTAATTTTTTTTTCCCCAAAACATTTTAAAAAGTGAAATGTGGGAAGAGCTTTAAAGATATTCACCGACTTATTTTTCCCTTGCTTTTATCTATTTATATACCTGTTTGATCTTCCTAAGGAAATTTATTCCTCGATACAAGAAAAAATGAATTTTAGAGATTGGTAGCTTAAAAATATACAAAAAATCCAGTGATTTAATCAGTTTGGGCATACTTTGCAGCTAATAGTGAATACTTTGCTTTATACAGAAATTGCCACTGAATTGGATTTGTGCACTATAATTTTTAACTTATTGATGCTCTATTGTGCAGTAGCATTTCATTTAACTAAGATAAGGCTCATATAGTATTACCCAACTAGTTGGAAATGTGATTATGTGGTATCTTGGCTTTAGGTTTTTAATTCGCACGAAACACCTTAATGGCATGCTTAGCTTTCTGGTAACACCCTCACCTGCATTGATTTTGGTTTTTGGGTTTTTGTTGTTGTTGTTGTTTTTAGATCCACAGAACATGAGAATCCTTTTTGACAAGCCTTGGAAAGCTGACACCATCTTTTTTTTTTTTTTTTTTTTTTTTTTTTTTCCTCCCCTCCCCTCTGTAAGAAGGATGTATTTAAGTGAATACTGGTCAGTGGGACATTTTGTCAACTTTGGTTATTGGGTGCTTAACTGTCTAATATTGCCATGTGAATGTTGTATACGATTGTAAGGCTTATGTCACTAAAGATTTTTATTCTTCTGATTTTTCATGATCAAAGTTCATATGATGTTGTATAGACATGCTTTGTAGTGAACTATAGTAGCAATAATTTCTGTACATGATCAAGACTTTATTGCAGCATTTCTTTTCCTGTTCTCTCTTTTTTTAAAAGGGTTAATATTAACAAATGGCAAGTAGAAAAGACAACATAAAGATTATAATAGAACAAGAACTTAGAGGACACAGATTTGTGATTCTTTGGATGTGTAAAAGCTTTTATTGAGCATTGTCAAATTTGTGTCATAGGGATGGACATCAGATTTATAATACCCTTCTATATGTGCTGCCATAGCTGTGAAATTCTTGACCGTAATATTGTCATTGAAAATGTTAATTGAGAATTCTGTTAACTCACATTTTATGAATGGGCATATTGTATTTACTGCAAGAAATATTTGATTTTCAGCAAAGTGCAGAGTTCTTTAAAATGCATACATCTTACTTTCTAATCCCGTTTTGTTTTAAAGCACATTTTAAATGTAGTTTTCTCATTTAGTAAAAGTTGTCTAATTGATACGAAGCCTGACTGGTTATTTTTTATTTTCTTATTTATTATAATGAAACAAATCACAAAATGTATTTTATTCAAACAGATATTAGGTCCTTGAAGTATATTGAATTGATTCTTTTCTGAACGTGTTCATGAATGTTATGATGTACTAGGTTAAGTCACACAGGCTTTTATCATGATTTAAATACCTTCCTAATTGGAATGCAGGTTGAGTGATGTCTAATAGAATTTTACATGTGACACTCTTTTAGTAGTCATATTGAAGTGGGTTCAGGAAACAAGCTCTTGGGCAGTCCTTTATTAATCTCAGTTTGAGTCAAACCTCATTAATTCAGATCCTGCTGAGATTTTGTAATAATTCATCCAGGTCAAGACTTGAGTATGAGAAAAGTCACCGATTAAACAAATTAATATTGGTCACTAAATTGAAAAAGTGGACATTTATTATGCTTAAAAACTAAGCATTCCTTCCTTGTCAAAATGAAGAAAATATAGAATAAAATTTTAAATTCTCATGGACCCTAGATTTTCTGGCACCATAGAGGGTGGATGAACTCCTGAAACTATTGCCCTGAGATAATCTTTAAACCTAACCAGAAGGCTGGCAGTTCAAACCCACCAGCCACTCCTCGGAAGGAAGGTTGGGCAGTCTACTTCCGTAGTGATACTGCCTCAGAAACCCAAGGAGGGGTCGCTATGAGTCAGGGCCAACTTGACAGCACATAACAACAACAACAATAATCTTTAAACCATAAACCCAAAATATCCCCTGAAGTCTTTTTACAACCAAATAGTAGTTCAACTAGTAAAAAGGTTTGCCTGAGCATTATGCTCTATATATGGGATCACGATGACAATAGCAACTCAGAAGAATAGACAGGAACCTTAGTGGGCAGTGAGTTTTGTTAATGAAGGAGGATAGAGAAGGGTTGTACAACTTGAAGACTATAAGCAGTGCCACTAAATGGTATATGTAGAAACTTGTTGAATTGGTGTATGTTTTGCTTTATATATTCTCAACAACAACAAAATGAAATTTAGAAAAAGGGAAAAAACTAAGCATTCTTAATACCATGTAGCACTTTTGTTCACACACAAATAATATGTTTATTACAAGTATTTACTTGGCAGTATTGCTATTGGAAGTAAAACTTCATGTCTTAGGAGAATATCGTATAATACAAATGTCGCTAATTTATGTTCTTTTTCCCCTCTAATGTTTTCATGTTAATGATTTTCTGTGTACAAATTTCTCTTTCATCCAAATGTCATGATACTCAAAATCATTATTAAACACTCGATTTCTGTGGTAATGTGATGGATCACATGCATTATAAATCCCTGTTCTTGAATGGAAAGATTCAAACAGATAGCCCTTTGCATTTGAAGCTTTAAAGTTTGTTGTTTCAGGTTTGCTCAGAGACATATTTGAATCATACGGTCAATAATACTGGTTTATGCAGTGTTAAGTAAACAGGTACTTTCCCTAGCCAACTGCCTAGCATCCACACTGTGATATCCTTTTATTGTAAAGAATACCTAAATACTCCTAATGTCATTTTTTTGAAACGGAAAAATGTCAGCAAGGATTTTAAAACTTACAAGGTGATTAATTTTGAAGTGTATGAGAAGGTTCAGTGAAATATATGTCTTTAAAGAAAATTCTAACCTAGGGAAAACCAGGAACTCCTTGAAATGTGCCCCTTAAGAATATAAAAGGGGTATTATACTGAGCCAAACTCGGTTTTATAAGTTGACTTTGTCTGCTTGGCATCTGTAACTTTTGAACCAAAAGAACAATTTTTTTTTTTTTTTTTAACATATTGATACTAAGAATGTTTTTAGGGAAGGAAGATAGGCGGCTTTTGTTGTAGCTACCTTGCCATACTCCCAACACCTCTTCTTTGTGAGAGTCCATGCCTGGATTTAAACAGTTCCTGGAAAGACACTTAATTGATTAGACTGGTGGCATTTACTTAGAAATATGTTACTCCTTTTTCTTAGTAGATTTCCATGTTTAATAATTTCTGCATACACCTAAAAAGTGGTTAGAGGAATTTAAACTGACAGAATACTTTACAAAAAGAACAGTAATTAAACAGGAAATAAAGTGGCTCTTTGTAAGTATATAAGGAGCTCTGTTGGCATTGTGGATAAGGCATTTGGTTGCTAACCAGAAGGTCAGCAGTACAAAGCCACCAGCTGCTCTGCAGAAGGAAAATGGGGCAAACTACTTCCATAAAGATTACAGCCTCAGAAACCCAATGGGGGGCTGCTGTGAGTCCGAATCGACTTGATGGCAGTGAGTTTGGTTTTGTAAGTATATACCTAGAGTTTTATTTACATTAAATTGCCTTGTAATGTTTCTTCAATAAAAGGGAAACTTAGACACAAACAGTGTAACATTTTGATCTGTTAAAATAGAATTTTACCTATGTGTTTGAATGCCAGAATTTCTAAACAAATCCCCTAATTTTAAAAAAAAACAAAACTTGTTTTCTTAGACCACCACCCCCTACATTGGTTAAGATACCATACATTTCTTTAATTGTTCTTATTCAGGTGTTGCCAGTGTTTTATTAAACTTTGTTTTCACAAAAGTGGTCATAAACTCTTGCTTCTGTCCTTTACAGGATCTTTGGGATTTAGCCAGCCAATGTGGTTATAAAATCTTACTTGTGACCCAGATTGTTTTGAATCTGAAAGGGTAGAAGAACAAAATGAGTGTGTGTGTGCGCGAGAGAAAGAGAGAGAGATGGACAGAACACAAACTGCCTGAAACTCACAGGTTCAGTATTTTAGATACTGCATTCAAAAAAGGTGAGAACTTTGGGTCTATCCCTGGTAGAGTTCAGTCAAGCCTGACCTGGAGTCACCAAGTGAAATGTGTGTTGATTTTTGTAGCTGCATAATCTGAAAAATTCAATAGATTTACATAAGTGACAGCACAACTAAACACCTAGAATCATCACAGATTATTACATCAGTTCATTAAAAGACATTATCTAAATATTAGCTCAATAACACAGCGTCTTACAAAATGAAGAATATAACCTGTGAGTACTGGCTTCTTTTAAAAAAATCATCTATATTAGACAAAATGGTCAACAATTACCCTAAAAACAAAGTTGAGAAAGTAAGTGGTAGGGAAACTACATTACTGGGAATGGAATAACCAGAATGGAATGAGAAGTTTGACACATGTGAAATATGTAACCAATATTACTGAATAATTTTTAAGACACTATGTAGTTTATCATCTGTCACATACAAATATTGATAAGTGACAAAGTCACA